CAGAAATTTTAGATGATTGTTTTATAGATATTTGTAATTAACAAATTAATTGTCTTGTTCAATGAAGGCAGCAATTGAAGTACAAGCCTAAAGTAGCCAGATTGACTGATTAGCCATCTTGCATCCTAGCTGTGTTTAGTAGCTAATACTGGTTGTACTGTCAAAACGGTTCACTACACTGTTGTACGCGCACCCATACTCAAACAAACGATAATACAAGAGCTACACAAGGCTTAAAATACAAGTACAAAACATTTTCTGTCAGCATACATACCAAAAAAGAATTAGTTTCATAGCTAACAAACACGTCATAACTCTGCGTTTCCTTCTAAACATGCTAGAGCGCCAAATTAGAAGTTCAAGTTTCACTAGCCCCATGCTGTCTCAGTGAATGTTTTTACTGTTTTCTTTAATTTAAAGTGATTTGCCTTAACCCAGCACACCCAATTCACATTTTGCTTATTGCAGAATGAATGTGGAAAATGATTGGAGTCTTTAATAATTGATCATTTCAGATAATGTCAGATAATGTAATAATTATGACCGGTCTAGCTACAGTACTGTGCAAAAGTCAGAGACCAGCCTTGAGTCAACTGGAAATGAAAAGGTTATTCATTTTTTTAGGGTCAGGAAAAAACGTAACATATTTAACAAATTTACAGAAGCCTCCACAAATAGAATGTCACGTTTTTCAGTAGTGTGTCCACCCTGTGACTTTATTACAGCTCCGGTTCTTTTCAGGAGACAGGCTTTTTCAGTTTTCAAAGAAATCTACAGGGATACATTTCCATACCTCCAAAGTTCAGTCTTGGGTGAAGCTTGATTTTCTTCAAAGATGAAAGCTTTAAGTACTGTTTATCTTGTATGGTGACAGTTCTGTTGGTCTTGAAGGTCTTGCTTGGTTATGAGTCTCATTTTCTCTATATCTTTTTAAAAAAAATTTTAACTCTTTTTTTGAAGCTCCTCTTTTGTTCACTTATTTTCTTTTGACTTGTCCCTTCAGTATGCTAGTGGATTTAAGCTAAGATTCTCATTAATTAAGGTGAGAATCAAAAAGTACTTGTGTTCAAATTACTCAAACACTCTGATGCCCCACAGGAAGAAATACACAGCTGACGTCATATCACACAATATGAGTGAGTGCAGTTTCAGGGTAGATTTGTTAAAGATTGGATCAAATTCATTGTTTCCCTCTAGGATTAGATCTAGAAACTATTTTTGCTGAATGTTTTACATATTGTATTGCACTAAATCTTATTACACTGGACTATTTAAGCTCTCTTTGTAATGAAACATGCAGTTGGTCAGTGTTCTTAAAGTTCTAATAAAATTTACAATATGCTCATTAATGCATATTATTGATCGCAGTAACGATAAAATAATGTCATATTGCCCAACCTGCAATGTCATAAATCAGATAAGCAAGTGTATTTGAGATGACGTAACTATGGATTGAAGCAAGTGTGTGATGATTTAGGCATGCAGTTATTAATTGATGGTCTGTAAGCTTGTCACATTAGCCTTGTAGCTTCAGCAAAGAATTAACGAAACAAACTTCAGACACCAAACATGTCTTGGCTGAATGGCTACATTTGGGCTAAGCAAGGAAACCGTCAAGGTGACGATACAGTTAGTTCCTTATTGTTTAATATTTTGCACCTTTTTTAAACAATGTGTAGTTCCCTTTTATTGATTTACATCTGAAGATTTGCATTAGCATGTTGTGTGTACTTGAAGCCACTCAGGTGCAGGTATCCCAGTAACTCATCTTAACTGTGGAATGCACATAAACCCCCTTCTGATTACTTTAATGGCTTTGAGGATATTGATACAGGGGCTCCTTCGCTCTGTGGCTTTGTTTGCCCTTCTTGTTTTTCATCGGCTGTTTTTAAAGGCCCCTCTCCTCCTCTCCCCTGCCCTCCGCACCACGCTGCTGCAGGTATTGTTTTCATCCACTTCAGCTCCGTCACATTTTCCATCCACAAAACCCTCACCTGTGTGCGTGACCCTCTCCTCTCTCGGCCTCTTCCACTGTCTCTCCATCTCTTTGGCCACCCACACGTCTTAGATTACCTTGGAAAGAAAGTAGGTGTTGGCGTTGTTTAGTTAGTTTATCAGTACAGATGCATTTGAGAACTTTTTTGGTTGCCTCTTTAGATGGTCTTTCACCTGCCGAGGGGGATATTGTTGATGCATTGCTTCTTTAAAAAGAAAAAGAAAATAATTTATAATGCTTTGTAAATGTTCGCAAGCTTCACATGACCATTCTGACAGATAGCAGTACACTACAGGAACTGTGTGGGTGATAAAGGTTCTTCTGGTGCGTCATAGAGGACGAAATTATTTGTCGTGCAGATGGAACTTTGAATGATTGCAGCAGCAAAGGGAAAGTAACCGAAGAATTCACAATAGTTAGAAGATTATTCAAAGAGAGTTCAGCCAAAACTTGCTGAAAGACGTGTCTTCTGAGGATTTAAGTGAATTATCTACTTTTGTCATCATGAATTCTTCAGTACAATATTAATTTGCATCTGAGACTGAAACTTTGAGTTGAACCTTCTTTTTGCGTGACGTTAACACAAAGACATAGGTCGAGAAAACTCCTGCAAAATTTGACCCAACGCCTCTGACTTTTAAATTATTATTTCAGGCAGCGCATGTAGGAAGTGAGTTTACTGGGGAAGTGAGTTTACCCTCATCTAACACTCTGAATTTAGTTCATTAAGGCCTTGCTAGCTGAATCAGGAGTGTTTAATAAGGCAGTGTGCCGAAGTCTGCAGTGTTTTGACCCGCAAGGACCAGAGCCTGACACGTGTTTTAGCCTGTTTTTTTTTCCCTGACTCAGTAATGCTTATTCTTTCAGTTTGAACAAAATAATTGTACATAGTGCAGCTTTAATTCATTTGATAGGAAATATGTACATTTACATTTATGGCATTTGGCAGCCGCTTTTATCCAGAGCGGCTTACAGTTTGATCATTTTACACGGCTGGCAAAGGTAGTGTTAGGAGTCTTGCCCAAGGATCCTTATTGGTATAGTGTAGGGCGCCTGCCCAGATGGAGAATTGAACCCCAGTCTACTGCGTAGAAGGCAGGGGTGTTACCCAGTGGAACTGCATTCTCTGGAGCGATAGAGCACTATTCAATACCAACCACATATATGAATAAAGACATATAGATGGTCAGTTGGTAAGTATGCTAAAATGATGTCTAAAAGTTTGTAGGTACTTCCTCATCCAGCATTTTTTCTGAAATCAAAGCTGTTAATAGAAAATTTGTCTGCCTTTTGCTGCAATAACAGGCTCAACTCTTCTGGCTTTACACTAGATGTTGGAACATGGCTGTGAGGATTTGATTGCATGCAACCAGTAGTGAGATCAGGTCCTCATATTGAATGATCAGTTCTGGATCATGAATGCCACCCCAACTCAGTACTGGAGGGCTTTATACCCCTCTAGTTGACACTAGGCTTTGGGGAAATGATATCTATACCTAAGAGAACCTGACCAAACTTAAGGTGAATAGTCTGGTTCGGTGTGGTGCAGAAACGAAAAGTCCACATCAATGGTGATATAGGTGTTAGATTCTTTGAAGGCTGCTTTATATTTTATATGTTGTCACTGAAAATTTGGTCTTAAATTACATTAGAAGTAGTCTTAAATTTGATTACATTCAAATGTAACATGAGGTAGAAAATGTGATTATTGCCCAGCTCTAGATTAGAATGTTATGCATCTGCCGATTGTTGTACACAGTTTACGTCACCCTTTTTGATGAACAGTCGTATTGAAGTAGAGTTTGCTTTTGGGCCTCTGCCAGCATTTCTACGTCTGTCTCCTTTATTCTGGAAATCAAAGGCAGTTTGGTGCAGTGTGTTTACTCAGCTGAGTGTGTGTGTGTGTGTGTGTGTGTGTGTGTGTGTGTGTGTGTGTGTGTGTGTGTGTGTGTCTCTCTCAGAGGCTGTTCAGTGTCTCTGTCACCCAAACCCAATTATGGGGGAATAACAGTTACGGCCTGAGTGAGTGTGAAGGAGGGGCACTCATAACTCACCCATCCTTGCTGTACTTTGCCTAGAAAATACAAACTCGCCAGGAAGTCGCAGGTATATGTAAGTGCGCATGTGTGCACAAGCATGTACTGTGTTGTCTGATTAGTCACGTATCATTAATATTATAATAAATCCACAATGTAAGTGCACAGTATAAAGCTACTAGTAGACAATTCTACATGTGGCAACAATACTGCAGTGTCAGAAATTCCACTGGATTTTTATTTATTTATTTTTTTTTAATCAAGAAGCAGTTTTTGCTTGCTGGATTTCAGTTTCTAAGGGCATTTTTCTAATCAAAATAAAATAATAAGCATGCGACTGTTATGACACCCTTAAAAGCCAAGGCTTATTGTGTCTTAAAGCCGATTATTAAATAATTACATGGAAAACAATGTAAACTGGCAGAGTTACTCCTTAGGCAATAGCATAAAACAAAAGGGGAGCACAGTTTTAAAAATGATGCAAGATAATTTTTTCAAACAAGGTACATAGACTGTTACTGATGACATTGATTTCGAGTAGTGGGTGGTATACCAATTTAAGGTCTTTCTCAGGTATGACTTTAATTAGAACCGTTACATTCGTATGCAGCAAATAAGGGTAGATGTACAAATGGTGCAAGCCATACTTGTGTTATCCTGTTTCGCTGGATGGCAGAGCCAGGGATATTTGTCACGTTTCAAATGAAAATAAAAATGCTGCAGTCTCTCAGTCAACTCCTGCTGTCTAGTCTATTGCATCTAAAGTAGTCCACTTTGTTTTCGAGGCACTGGACATAATGGAATGGTTGGTCTTCTGGGGTTAGCTGTAGCCTGTCATGGACAACAGAGAGATGAGGCCTGACTGAGGAGCCACCTGACTTGGTCAGCCGCATCAGACAGCCTTTTTTTTCCCCCCCTTTTGACAATTCAATTAAGTGCTTATTTGCATTTCTCTCTCTCTCTCTTAGCGTGGAACAGAGGGGTTCTGGAAGTCGGTAGCACGGACTGTGCCAAGAGATCACGAGGACATGCGGATCCTGAACCCGTACTTCATCCAGGAGGCAGCATTTAGATTCATTGGCCTGCCGCAAAACAACGGCCTCATGGGACGAGGAGTAAGAGGACACACTCAGTCATAGGCGAAAGAGCACCTATTTTATAAATTATGGCAAAAACTTCCTAATGCTAACACAGGGTTTGTGACAGCACAAAACATTAGTAAATCTGCCCTTTTATTGTATACTTATTTAGTCTAGTTTAGTTAGATAAATGTTTTTAGATCACCAAAATTTTCAGTGGCTGAAATTTAAAATCAGCCCTACCAACATATTGGCCACTGCAAAAGTTTTTGTTTAAATGGATTTAACAGGTGTACAACAAAAGTGAATATATTGACAAATTTACCAGTCCTTTTAATGTTAACATTTAATGTTACATGCAGCTCTGAAATGATTGGAGACGGGCAAGACAGTTTTATGTCAGAGAGCTACATTCTGGCCGTGGAGGTGCAGTGAACGGAAGAAACAGCATGCAAAGCAGTGGGCAGTGTTACATTTCTTTTGTTAACCATGCTGAGGCAGAAAGATGAGTGGAATTAGGATAGCAGCTCAACACCCAGAAACCTACAACCTGCTCTAACACACACACCCACACACACATTAACATACAGAGTCACTCAGGCTCACTCACTCAGAAAGAAAACAGGACCAGTCCTTGGTCACTTTGACTTACAGTCGTATGTTTGGGTAAAGTCATACTACATGTTTTGTTGATTTTATATCATGAGGCAAAGAAAATCATTATATTTTATTTAACTTTAGTCATTTTCACCTAGAAAATCAACAACAGAAAATGTGCAACTGTATTACTGTTCGTTTTGATGTCAAAAATGTTTGTTTCAATGTTAATGTAAAGATGAATGGTGTGAAGATTTTTGGTGTGGATCTATGTGTGTGTTTCCAGAACATTCCGACACTGGGGACAGTGGCAATTACAATGGCTCTGCATAACTGTGATGAAGTGGCGGTGGCAGGTTTTGGGTACGATATGAGCGCCCCCCGCGCCCCTCTACATTACTACGAGAAGCTCAGGATGTCTGCCATCAAAGAGGTAACACACACACACACACACACACACACACACACACTCTCTCTCTCTCTCTCTCTCTCTCTCTCTCTCTCTCTCTCTCTCTCACTCTCACTCTCACTCTCTCTCTCTCTCTCTCTCTCTCTCTCTCTCTCTCTCTCTCTCTCTCTCTCTCTCTCTCTCTCTTTTTTTATGTCTTTATTGTTATTCCTCAGTATAATATGCATACATTTGAAATTGAAATGTCATTCTTCAGGACCCATGTGCAAAAACAAAACAGCAGCACAGTACATAGGTAAGTGCAGAGACTGCCAATGTGTTATGAGGGCACAGAACTCAAAAGATAGTTAACACACAGGAGATAAAAATACACAACCCTAACTAATAACTAACCCTAACAGGACAATAAAATACTTTCTGTCTAATGAAATAGTTAGAATGCGAAATCATTTAGACTGATTAATTTGTGAAATGCACTACTCATAGGAAACAAGCGTCTGGTATTAGGTACCTCTAAAAGATCCTTAAAGGAAGCTGTTACATAATAGTTACCAATATTATTTCCTAATGCCTGCGACATTGTTTTATGAATTTTGAGATTGTTTTGCAAGGATGCATGTATAAATATTATATATAATATTTAGAATAAATGTTTTTTTGCAGCTTTGCAACTATTTTACCAATATCAGTATTGTACCAAAAAAAAAAACTCAGGACAGGTGGAGATTTACAGTTTTTTTTTTGTTTGTTTGTTTTGTTTTTTTGGGGTTTTTTTTTTGGGTAGCAAATAAAATAGCCATACGTGCTTTGTAGATATTACATCCCCTGGTTCCTATTATTAGCACTGTAAAGAAAATCCAGGTCTCTACTATAAATAGCATGTAAAAAGTGCTCTAGAAAGTGAGTGAATTATGTAAATGAACTTAACTGCACTTCTGGAGTTTGTATGTTTATTTAATTGCCACCTTTTAAACAGTGGGGAACAATGGTCTGCTTTTAATATTGTTAATGATATACCAAAATTTAAATTCCTGGCCAAAACCAAATTTCAAGACACCTGACATCTTTTTTTAATTATTTATTTATTTTTTGCGGTTTTATTTTTGCTTTAGAATAAATAAAACAGCAAAAAAACTAACTACAAAAAAGTAAAGAAAATCTGAACTGAAAAGCTGAACTCACTATAAATAAAAACTAAAAATATTTTTTTCTTTTAAAGTATGTAGGCTACAGATTGTGCCTTTAAAATCAGAGAACGATTGGTCATCCAAGCCAATGAATTCCATTACTTTAAATTTATACTTTACACTTTGGCTCTGTTTGTAAATTTTTTAATCACTTAAGGCTACATGTAGCATTGTTGTGCTTGCAGATGCTTTTCTTTCTGCTTCTGTTGTTTCACTGAGTGGGATGTCATGTTTTCCAGTAAGATTAAACCTGTAAAGGAGAAGTTCTTGGGCGTCATACATCCTCTTACTCGGCATGAATAAAGATAGTCCCTCATAGACATCATAAAACAGTTCCACACGGCCAACTTTTTTTCCCCCAATGGTGCTGTGCTGCTGCTCAAACTGTACTATACATCTATAGTGATTGGCACGATGAGCAAAAAAACAGCAGAATTTTTAAATCACTATATTTTTTTTTTATTGAAATGATTTGTTAAGTGTGCTGAAATGTTGGTGCATCTCTAATTGCTATAAGTGTTGAGCAAAAAAAGTCAGATTTACACATTTTTCCTCAAATGTTTTGTTACCTTCTTTAGTTTTGCACTGGAGCTATGGGTAATGCTAATTGTTCAAACTACATGCATAAATCATCAGACACTAACCTCAGACTGCACTGAGTTGTTATGTAATCTCAAATAGGCTTTCTCACACTGTGTGACACACTGTTACCTGTAAAAATGGACAGCAGTTCATCAAGCTAGCTAACACTTCAATAACTCTGAAACTGTGTCCTTGCATTAGTACATTTTCCTACAGCTGTAAAGGGGGCGCAAATAAAAGATCAAGCCATCCTCATGAATCATTTCATATGAATCAGCTTGACTCATCTGTTCTCTGAGCGTGTAGAGTGTGCTTGGTTTGGTTTAGGGAATCCCAGCCTAATGAGTCATGTCCACACACATTACACACCACACCATGTGACTGAGGCAGACAGCAGGTTACCTCAGCGTTCTCCTGCTCTAAAGACAGGAGTGATGAACCAGGACTTGGCTGTTAGCATTCCATGCAGGGGGACACCCTCTGTGTTTGGTTAGGGCAGTTTATGCAGCGCCAGGAGAGTTTATGCAGATAGAATAGCAAAGTAATAACTGTTTAATTACTGTAGATGTCTTCATATGTGTAGAGCAGTGAAGTTCAGGCAGGTGAACGTTTGGGGACGGAGGGGGTGGGTTGTTGGTGTATGAAGTGTCTAACAGGTCACTGGATATACAGCTTAAATACACACTATAAATCAGTCTCTGGGGATGACAGCTCAGGACTGTGTTTTCTTCACTGACATGCAAACCTGTGTCCATCCATCCATCTCTCTGCCTGCCTCGCTCTCTCACTGCTTCTTTCTCCTATTTTGCTGGTGTGATATAACCGGAACTTAACATTCAGTTCTGGCTTTGCCTGGTGAAACTTTCATGCTACTTGTTTTCATGCTTCAGCTATTACAGGCTGTGAGCATGGAGGCATTATAGGACCGATAGAGAGTCATTAGGTTTGGTATTAGCTCTGTTCATTGCAATTGGATTAGTTCAGCGGTGCATGTGCCCCTGAAAATACAGTACTGTGCAAACATCTGAGAAAATGAAATGTAAACTATCAGCTAATACTCCATATCAAAGGACCCAAATCTACATGCAGGACGGTGGGCGATGGGCTGAATCGGGACTTCCGTGATAGGCTCTTTTCACATTTTCAGGTTTTTTCAGAACTACGCATTGCTGGATCAAGCCACTACTGCAAAAACAACAGTTAGAATGGTGGCCGAGTAGAAGAATAAAAGCTTTTGCAGCATACCCAAGTGTTTGAGCTAGAAACAGAAACCACCGTATTTCAGTTTCAGTGGCTTCTAATCTAAGATCTAAAGTTGGTGACACTTTCAGCTGAACAGTTTCAATATTTCCCCACAAAAATTATCAGCATTTTAGAGAGCAAATGCTTAGAGGGGAGTAGATGTTGGTTCACAAGGACGATTGGTTGTGGAAAAAGTCTACAGTGGCGCTACAAGCCATGACTGTGAGGCACAGCCTTCTGCTGGTATGTGTAAGTGTTTATTTGCCAAAGGGTGTCTTTCATTAGCAATCGGTTTCTACTTCTCCAGCTAACATGGCTAACTTAGCTTTTTTTGGTTCTAGTTATTTCCGCATGTCCATCGATTTATCATGCTGTAGATGTTAGCTGACTTTATCGTACTCCAATAGCTTTGAAGGAATTCCTCAATGAAGAATTTACATCCTACCAGCTTGGAATCCTGCCTTATGTGTTTTTGTGTTCTCACATCCTTGGAATCTCTGAGGAGAAGCTCTGAATCCTGTGTTGCTCTGTTCTCACGCATGAGCAATTACATTAAAATGTTATTAATGTTACCCAGCTAGCTAAATAAGCTGGTTACTGATGGCTCAGGTAACTGACAGAATGGAAAAAGTGCTTATCAGCCTTTTTTGTCCATGATCTGACAAATGAAAATGCTCTGTTGACATGATATGGTTTGATGTAGTCAGGTGGTAGGTTATCTGTAGTTTGATTGTTTAATGAAATTTGTTTTACAAAGCTGAGATTGCTGCTGGTATCAGATTATTATTATTGTTGTGGAGCTGTCATCTCTCTCCAACATGCACACAGATTAAACTATCCCAATCTCCTAATTCAGATGCTAGTAAAGAGTTGTAGATGTTAGGGCTTCACTGGTGTACAGTAGGGAGAGAAAGTACTTATGCCCTCTGCACAGTTTCGTAGTTTAAAAAAATAAAATAAAAACTTTAGACCACAGCTGTTTGATGGCTGTTGTGCAGATAAGCAAAGGTGATGTGAGGGAAAATATGGATAAGTGAGAAATTTATATGAATCATTATTGTGCGAGACTGTTTGGCCTGACTGAAGAAGTAACGCTTGCTCCCTAAATCCACTGAAAGTGAGTTGTGTATGTCTATAAAGGAGCAGCCAAATGTATTGCATTTGAACTGTGTGCTGAAGTTGAGCAAAATCACATTTGTTCGCCAAAACTTCTCATCTGTCTGAACTGCGCGTCCTGGCCTGTTCTGACCAGGCTTAGTCATGTCCTAAATCTGTCAGCTGTGTAACCATAACATTTTAGAGTTCGCACTGTACACTATGCCTTTGTAATCTCCCTCTCTCTAACTTCACTCAGAATTAGTGTATCTTTGCTGTATGGTGGCAAATAATGATGACTTCTGTAATTGATTAATCTACCAACTATTATCCTGCTGTTTCCTCTTACTTTGCTTACGTCTCACTTCCACCACATGTGTACTCTGTTTCTGGAAAAGAATCCCAGATTTCCATTCTACACTTACGCTGAGGGGAACCTGCTGCCATCTTGAGGGTGTCTAGATTCTCAAAAGAAGTTGGTACCAGCAGCCTCTTCAACCCTCAGTTTGACTCGAGTGTTCCAAACTGTAGACTACAGGCAGTACTGCATCCCCATATTTGCTGTATATGTACTTATATCTGTATAAATTGTATAAAAAAAAGACATACACTGTGTATATAAGCTAGACTTAAGGCATTGCCATATGTCCATACTGTATATAAACTGATGCACACTGTTATAGAAACCATATCCCCATTTATACTGTGTATTTACATATGTATACTGTTATATACATTTCAGTTAGTACCGTATCTCCATATGTAGAAGAGATGGGGGCGCACTACCTAATGATTTTAATTTTTACACAATAATTTTAAAATTATTGAACAAACTGCAGTACAACAACCTATGCATCTTTGCTACAAATGAAAATCGAAAATATTGTTTCGGTTGAATAGTTCGTAAATGGTAGGTGCTCGAAAGTGGCAGTTCACTGCAGGGAGTAGCTACCCCTTAAAACATACGGAAAGCTGCTCAGGAAAAATATATACTTTTCAAGAGTTTAAATCCATTCCATTTTAAAACTAACTGCATCCACACTTAAGCAAGTGAGTGCTTGTGTTATATATGTATGAAGCAAATGCAGAGGCGGGCAGTGTGGAGGGCCCCTGTACTGCCTGTAGTGTATTGCTGTCTGTCAGAATGACTGCATGGATGATCTGTCAGAATCACACTGTAATCGACTTTGCCAACTATTCATTGCGACTTTCTTTCACTGTGCACACACATGTAGTTCTGTTCATCTGTGTCCAAACTCATTCTGCTACTGTACAGGCCTTTTAGCTGGAATTTCCCTCTGCTTCCGTAATTCAGTAAGTGCTTTTCCCACAGTGGAGATAGCACTACATGCCATTGTTCTGTAATGTCATTTTCTCTCTTATGTTCAGCGTTAAAAGCCTGTTCTGTGCACAATAGTGGTTGTATTGTATTCCCGCTCCAATAACATGTTTACTTTAAATGGGCAGTCCAGTCTTCCATTGTCCATCTGACTGTAAAAATGTGCATGATCAAAAGCCACAGACCATGAACGGACAACAAAGCCTTTTAGAGTAAAACATTTGAAACTTATTATCTGTGCTGAGTGTTTACTCCTCTCTCCTTTTCTCCGTCTCTCTTTCTCTACCTCTCTCTTTTCTGTCTCTCTGTCTCTCTACCGCTCTCTTTACTTTTCAATCACTACCTTTCTCTTTTTCTGCTTTTTTCTTTTTCTTTTTTCTCTCCCCCTTTTTCTTTATTTTGTTCCTTTTTTTCTTAATTTTTTTTTTCTTCCACTTTTGCTACTTACTACTCTTTTCCTATATTTCTTTCTCTTAATCTTCTTCCTTCTCTCTCGTGTTCTTTTGGGTTTTTTTTATTTCTCTTTTTGTGCCTCTCTCCCTCTTTCTTTCTTTGTTTCTTCCTCTGTTTTTCTTTCTTTCATTTTTCCCCACTTTTCTTTTTCTCTCTTTTCTTTGTTTTTTTTTCCTCTCTTTACACTCTCTCTCTCTCTCTCTCTCTCTCTCTCTCTCTCTCTCTCTCTCTCTCTCTCTGCAGTCATGGACACACAATATACTGAAAGAGAAGGACTTTCTGCGTAAGCTGGTGATGGCCGGAGTCATTCAGGATTTGACCAATGGGATATGAAACCATCACACAGAGCCAAGAGAAATCAGAGACATCGGAGACTCATCATGGTGACTTGCTCCTGCACTTTCAATGGACGATCAAGTAGTTGGCTTGACCGCTTGTTTTTAAGGATTACTGGTTACTTCAAGTCTGAATCATTTCAACTCTACTTGTCGCTGATCTTAAAGCCATTGAATAAGATATGCCGTAATATCTAAGATGCTTTTTGAGCTTTTTCAGTAGGACATTTTCATTGGATGTGATTTGGTTTGATGAAAGTGACTTTTAGCTTGACAAAGTAAATTCTAATTTTCCAGTGAAGACTTGCAAAAGAAATGCTCAAATGGCACCTTTGGATATTACTGTGTTGTAAAGTGGCGTAAGTCTATGACAGGTGTGTCGAAACCTGCTCTGTTCAGGTGATTTGCCATGGAATAATGACTTTGCTGTTGCCAGAGACATTTGCGTATAGTTATGAGAGAAGAAAAAGGAAAGTTTGTCTGTGCCAAACCTACAGCAGCTTTGAGAATGCGCTGCCCTGGGGGCTGTTTAACAAAAACAGAATTTCTCCTGCTCAAGATAACTTGTCCAGTAGAAGAAGAGGTAAGGAGTGTGCCAGCTGGACAGTCCTCACTTCAGGATGAAAGGAATACTCCAGCATTATTTAACCTAATCTCTATTTGCTGCATCTGTGGCATACAGTCCATTATCTCTGACAGTAATTCTGATTTCAGATGCAAATCCCCTAGTAGAAGCTGATAGGCAGATGCTGACACAGCTTCAGTATATTTGGAGTCAACAGTTTGAATAAGCATAAAAGAACAGAAAACCCATTGTCTAGAAGTTGGAGTAGAATTTGTTGCCTCAGTGGCTGCTTATTGGCTTCTGTAATAAGTGAATTCAAATCAACAGGTTTTCTGTTCTTTTCTAAGTTCAGGGAGATGCATCTGTGTTATATGTTGTAGTCAACTGTATACTATAGATGGGGTAGATGGAGATTTGAGTTTCAAGTTTCAAGTTGATTTGAAGTTCCAAAACACTGGAGTATTGCTTTATATTATCCACCTTTACTGCGAAAATCTTGCTTTGTGAAATATCTCCCTGTTCCTCTGCTGAATGTATTCTCAGTTACAATCCTACATCAGACAAACGGCTACCTTGAGAGAGAGAGAGAGAGAGAGAGAGAGAGAGAGAGACAGAGAGAGACAGAGACAGAGACAGACAGACAGACAGTCCGTCCCCCTCTGTGATTTGGACTAATGATTCACAGTCTTTAGGAAACTCGGCCTTTCCTTTTAAACAACTCTTTTTAAGTATTTTTAGTAGCAGTGTTATTATTACTGTTATTTCTCCACAAGGAGGAGGATTTTTGTTTGTTTTTTTAGTTAGGGTTTTTTTTAATGTTCAGTATTTATTTTATAGTATTTCCGTCACCTCGCTGGATCATGGCTTTAATTTAATTCCACACATACTTAAGGCTTTAACATTGTACACCTCAAACTCAGGCTGATGTTCCAGGTGGCAGTTTTCAGTGGTACTGAACGAATTGTCAGTCTAATTTGTATTGTGCTCAGAAAGGCCTTTGAACTTTGCTGACGAGGGTAGATTTGGAATTCTGTTACAGTTTTTGTTGATGATGACAACCAATCACCATCAGCCGCCAAATTTAGGAAGTGTTACTCATATGTTTGTATGCATATCAATGTGTTGCAGTATTTGACAAATGAATCAATGCAATTAAAGTATTCAAAATTTGTTAAGCACATGTCTGACAAGTTTATATGATGCTTTTCACCTCAAACTACAGACTAGCAAGAACTGCACATATATACATTTATATGGTATATACATATATACTACCCAATCAGTGAATGCTTTATTGTGAGTATCCTGACCAATAACAGATGTTCTTTAAGTATTTTAAAGTAGCACTATGTAAGATTTTTGTTAAAATTGAAAGAAGCAGCAACTGATTCAGGACAAGAAAGAATTGCTAAAATATGGTGAGCCTGCGCTGCTGCAAGTCACCCTGTAAAGCCGGAAATAGTAATGTAAAAGTCAGAGGTGCTGTGTCGGACCTCACAGCAGTTTTTAGAATAGGGGTTGCATGATCTCAGAATTTTTTATGGTCAACAGTTATGTGATAAAAGTTGAGTTGATGTCAACTAATCGCTAATGATGTCATTAATAAATACACAGGAGAAGGGAATGCTTTGCAGCAAGCAACATTAAAAATCAGTGACAAAGCCAGACTCCACAAGTCAGTACAAGCCAACAAGCCCTGGATCACATTATTAGCCTTCAGGAAACCAGATATATGTACCCAAAATTTGCCAGGCTCCTCAACTGTTGTCTTCTCTGAGGTGTCCAAGTTCTTAGTGTCATTATTACGTGATCAGCAACTAGTCAACATCAAGCTTAATGCGAAATCAACGTTATACTATAGATCTAAGAAGTAGTACATCATTCACTTACACCCTCAGAAGACACGCCTTTCACAAAGTTTTGACTGAGTTGTCTTTCAACACTCCACATGCTCACAATCACCAGAGTCGTCCACTCTGGGAAGGGATGAGAAGCACAGATGACATCACGAGAAGTTCTTCTGCACAACCAGGAAGGTCTCCAAATCCCAAAACTTACATAGTGTAGCTTTAATGAATCAAGGTAATCATTTGAACCAACAAATGTAAATCATTTTGATCCAAACAATGTGGGCAGATCTTTAACCACTTTAAAAAATGTAGGGCTTGCAGATCAGTTTGTTTAGAGACCTTTGCTCCAGTCACATTTACGCTTTGACCTGTTCAGGTCATTTCTTCTTTTAGAGTTTGAATATTATTAAAAACTACATTGTACAAATGTATTATTATATATAAAATAACAAAGGGTTAATTAGGCAAGTGACTCCAAACTTTTGAATGCCAGCTTATGTTAATGTAAAAAGGTGTAATTCCAAGTAATTTTGGACTATTTTTATTGGTCTATTTTGGTCTATTCGTAATGAAATATTAACACAATATTAAGGGCATCTGGCATTTTATGTCGAAAAGGTAAAAAAAAACTGCGGTTTTGAAAAGACTGCAATGATTTGACATTCTGGCCATTTGTTGCAGCCTCAGTATTAGTGTTTTCTCTCTATTGCCACATCATTAATAAGATATTAATAATTATTTGCGAACTTTTCCCAGATGTTTAGAGACCTTTGCTCCAGTCGCATTTACACTCTGACCTGTTCATGTCTCAAGTGCTCAAGTAATCAAACAGTGGATGTTTATATGTGGGTTTTTGTGGTAAACACAGCGGCTGTGTGAGTCATGGCTCGGAGGGCTCTACCGGCAGCATCCCTGTTTGGAAAGGTTAAAGGTAAGTGGTGGGAATGTTCAGCGCTCCAAACGGAAGCGTAGAGGTGAAGGACGCTGCATTCCTCAAAACCCTTGTTTGGTTACCACTGCTCCCTGCACTAAATAACACCCTTTCCCAAAACTCAGAGTCTTCTGGGATGAGTCTTTGAGGTTGCTCAGCTGGTAAAAGCTGCTTTTGTAATCAGGCAGTAACACTTTTTTTCCCCCTCATATGTTGCATGTCAAATGTTTGGAGACACCAGATTTTTCCCAAATGTTTTTAATAACTGAGTATGTTTTCTTTGTCTGTCTGGAGTTACTTAATAAATTACATTGAAAGCTGTTTAGATTTTGCTGTTTTTCTCTTTGCAGAAACTGCCGAAAGCCTTACCTTGGGAATACTGTTAAAGATCATTTTATCCTCTTGTTGTGATGTCATACTCAAACCTTTTAGGTGTTTAAATCACCTTTGGACTAAAAAGGTTCAGTATGTGCTCTTTAGTTTGGAAAAGAAAACTCAAATTATTATTTAGGCAAAATCTACTCTTCATACCAAAAAAGACACTTGGATGAACATGAAGCTGACTGTTAAAGCTAAATTTGCCCAAAGAATTAGAAATTATGTTCATGCTAGAAAACATTTTTGTTTAACTAAAAAGAATGATGAAAATACATTGTTCAAAAGCAGGAAAGCTGTCCTTAAACGTTTAGCTTTCTTGAGCTTTATTTGCTGTTCAGGTCAGTGAAAAAGATTAATGTTGGTTTAATAAATGTGTGCCTTCTTTCTGTGTGATATATTCCCCATTTTTTATTCTCTTATGCAGATTTGTTGGATAGTCCAGTCCTAGCAAACCCACAGGATGTAGAAATCATTTGAAAAGCCCCTAATCTGTAATTGCAGCCCCTTTTAGACGGGCAGTTAGCTAAATGTAGATGTCTCTTGATCGGCATAATTCATGTCTGCTTCTTTTAATGCCTTACGTCCGTGGCTGTTTTCTGCATGTGTTTTTTTGAGCGTAGAGACCACAGTAGCTCACACGGTACAAAACTGTTCTCACACATTCAGATCAGTCCTTTTCAAAGAAAAGAACAAAGTTCTCTTAAGTTTGCAGTTTTTCTCACTTGGCTGGACGTTGTCAGGATGTTTCACATCCACATTAGGGCTATGTAAACAACAGTTCTGCTGAAAATCAAATTGATATAATTATTATATAATTATTGTAGTTAATTTCAAATGTAGTTAATCACAGTAGAGTAACTTGGATCTTATGGGTCCCAGGGCAGAAATCAGACTGCCTTTCCTCATACATACCTAAATATTTATATTAAACTTCCTGTTTGGATCATAATAATTATATATGAAAGTTTTTATTCCAAAATGCATTGTAGTACAATCATTTAAATTGTTTTCTTTTCATGATCTGGATAATTCTACTGCACTGGACTAAAATGCTTTTGCTTCGAGTGACCCTTTACGTTCATTATGTCTATCAAAACAAAAATGATTAAACATTTTATTTTGTTGCCAACAAAACAATGACAACACTACTAAAACTTTAACAAATGTCTTGTTAGTAACGGTTTCAGTAGTGACAATTTTAGCTCATTTTGAGCATTACTTAAAAAATGCTCGCCAGTACAGTTGTATGCAAAATCTTTTATTTTTATTTTTTTATTAAAACACAAAAGCATTTACTTATTTGCAGAAAATGTGTTTCGGTTGTGATGGTTCTTAAGGTTACACACCAGACTCTGGGACATATTCACTTCAAAACGATGTGGCCATGTTGAACAGGGATGTAGTCTCACTTCCTGCTCTAAAATGCAGGGGTGTGGCTGAAAGTTCTGCTTCAGCAGTGACATTAATTTTTTGAATACACACACACACACACATTTTCTAAACCGCTTATCCTTCTGGGTTGCAGGGGGGTGCTGGGGCCTATCAAAGAGGTAATTGCGCAGATGGCAGGATACACCCTGGACAGGTCGCCTGTCCATCGCAGGGCAGACAGACACACACACACACACACCACACCTAGGGGCATTTTAGCGTGTCCAGTTGGCCTGGCTGCATGTCTTTGGACTGTGGGAGGAAACCCACGCAGACACGGGTAGAACATGGAAACTCCACACAGACAGGACCCTGGTCGCCCAGCTGGGGACTCAAACCCAGGTCCTTCTTGGTGTGTGACGAATAGTTTGAATAGTTTTTTTAATAAAAGCAATTGCATGCATGATAAATCCTAAACTTCACTTTAAAAGAAATCAAAAAGATCTTTAAAAACGACATTAGGTGGCCCGTACTGCTCCTCCTTCTGACCAAACTTTATAGTTTTGAAATTACTCTGACTGGAAAGAATAAAATGTGAAATAAACAAAATGTGTTTGTTCTATAAGACAATAATGTGATTGTGTATAGTGTGATTGTTTTCATAAAAAATTCATCCTAAAATTTACACATTGTATTACTGCAGTGTATAAGATGCTTTTGCTCTACCTGGGGTTTGTATTTTTTTATATTTTGAACAGTATCAAAAAAATGACTTTAAATGAAACAGAATAGTTTATGCACCAATGTATAACAATGTGCATTTAAAATAAGTACATCCACTTTGTGTCAGATTGCCATGTGCACAAATTGTTTAGTATATTATTTTGTATTTTTCTTCGTACTATTGGTATTATTGATAGATTTTAATGATAGATGATGACAGTCCTACCAGATATGAGTTTGATCACATAGATACCTACCCTAAAGATGAAGCTGATAACAAAACTGTAGTTTAAATTTGCATGCTTTTTTTCTTTTTTTCTGACCGCACACATCTTTGGCCTCTATGTTTCTTTAGTTTTGTGCTGGAGCTATAAGGCTAAAGTAACTAAAAAGGAATGTAAGATATCCCACCAACTAGCACTGTGCAAACTGTATGCCTAAACTAAGATGAACTGCTACTACTGTTTTTAGCATTATTAGCAACATACCTAGCCTGTTTACTTAGCCTGTCTACTTAGCCAGCCTGTTTACGCAGTTTGAAGGAAGTATGTAGTGATTTCAGCGTACAGTTTGATCAATCCTAATCAGTGTGTTAAAGCTAACAATACTTGTTAGCTACATTAGCCTCATAGCTCCAGGGCAGAACTAAAGAAGCAAACAACTACAGCTGGGCCTAAGGGGGGGCGTTTGGCCAAATTATTGCTAAGGTGTAGACATCAGCTGGTACTCTTCAAGTATATCTGCAGTCCAGCAGTTTTAGCTGCTGACAGACCAGTAGGACTTGGAGGTCCTCATCCGTATCTCTGAGAGCACTACAGAGAGCTATGAGAGATGCTGTTTTAATCATTAGCGAGCTTTGTCTCTGTAAACATTCTTCACATACACAGTAGTCGCTCTATTTAAACTACAGAGAGTTTGGCTA